CATATGTACTGCTTACGGGAGATTCTTTCTCGGAAAGGACTGGCTTACATCCAGTCCCGACAAGCACTAAATTCTGTAGTTAAAATTACCTCCAAAAAAAAACATCCTGAGCTGATTACCTTCAAGTATGGAAACAGCAGTGCTTCTGGGATAGAAATCCTGGCTATTGAAAGGTAAGTTTTTTTTATATGATCTGAATGAATACAAGTCATTAAACAGTTTCCTTCTTGATTTTGGTGAGTGGTTTGGAATAGGACCCTGAAGCCCTCCCCTCTAGGGACAGTACCCTTTGTCGTCTTCTTCCTAATACTTGTTCATATTTGGCTTCAACATTGGTGCATGATTTCACTAATGCTGTAGCAAATTTCAAAAACTTGTCGACACCAGGATCCTTAAAAATAATCTAGAGGTTGAGAGAGATGGCCGAGCAGATGAAGGCACTTGTTGCCAAGCCTGGTAACTGAGTGAAATCCCTGAGATCCACATGGTAGAGGGAGAGAACCAACCCTCCTGACCTCCACTTAACACTGCATGGCATGAGCACCCCCCATACAAAAATAAGTAAGTGTAACATAAAAATAAAACAATAAGAAATAAGGCAACTGTACACACTCTGCTTTGGGCTTGAGGCCTAGAGCTCAGGTCCCAGCACCCAAAGCCATGTCCAGCAGTTCACAGATGCTGTACCTCCACCTGCGGGACATCCCGCACCCTCTTCTGTTTCTGCGTACACAGACACACACACATGCACACATGTCTACCCACATAGTGGCACACAGGCAGACATGGTGCTGGAGAAGGAACTGAGAGTTCTACATCTTGATCCGCAGGAAACAGGAAGTAAACTGCGATACTGGGAGTAGCTTGAGCATAGGAGTTCTCAAAGCCCGCCCCCATAGTGACACACTTCCTCCAACAAGGCCTCCTTTTGTTCACCATTTTCCTTCAAATCACCACAGCAGTATTCCATTGGACATTATATATACTTATTGGCAGTTCAGAGATTCTTAGCTGTGCACTATATGAAAAACCATATCACTTTGACTTTTAGATTTTCAAATAACGTTTTGCTTATCTGTCGAGGCAAGTTTGTGGGAGTACACAGGAGGGCATCTCTGCGAGCATCGGGGATCAAGGCAAGCTCCTCATCAGAGGTGACCTCTCAGCAGACCCTGAAGGGGAGGTTCTGTATTAATACATAGCTGTGTCTTTTCTCCCATAGGTATTTGATTCCGAATGCAGGAGATGCTACCAGAGCCATAAAGCAGCAGATCATGAAAGTGTTGGATGCTTTGGAAAGCTAACATAAAAAAAAGCTATTTAAGTGAAATTAAGGCAACCAAGAGAAACATGAAAATATATTTCCTGACTCAATACCCTCAGAGACCTTTCATTTGCTCATGGGGTGCCTGAGTAGAGGGGTCTAATGCAAATTACTGTAATCAATCTCGGGATGGGTACACTTTTTTAAAAATTTCTTTTGCATCTTTGGTTTTATAAGATGATTTATTATAAAGGTCAGTTATTAAATGACTTTGAAGTAACTGGCCTTGTGCCCTATGTATCGGGGCACAGAATGCAGTTCTGTTTTGAAGAGCTGTTTTAAGAGACATGCATCCTTTTCAGGTTTGGAAACAGCCGTACACATCCATATTTGCAATGTCTTCACTGAAATTTAGAGAGTTAATTGCGACATTGGGTCTTGCTACAAAGAGCAATATGAGAAAATTAAAAGTATAGAGGAATAATTAGCTGACTGTTTCTATTCTTAAAAAGACTGAAGTCTGCTTCATGGAATGGATGGAGATGATAGCCAGCTCAAAACAGAGCCCATAGCTCTGTAAGCTCTGAAGCATCGGTCGCACCTCCTCCATTCCAGTGGGGATTATTTGGTGACTAATTGCCTCACAGACTCTAATCTCCTTCCCAATGGTTGCTAAGAAACAGTTAACAGGATCAGAAGTAAGTAGGCATGTTAAAGTTCAGATTAGCATTTGGGGACAGGATTGTATCTGTAAAAATGTCATTGGCCTTTATTACTTGGTCCATTTGGTCTCGGATATTTCAGTTTATGTCATGAGATGATCACCTGTGACCACACCGACGTCCAGTTAAAAGACAGATAAATCAGCGAGCCATAGAAATTTCAGTGTTTTTCTATCACTTTCTAAACATTTTCTTTTGGTTTTGTCTTCTCAGTAAAATTTCAGTAGTTGGAACTATTTGTATTCTTTATCCCGCAAGCTGAGACAGCTGTTTTGCAGCTTGCTCAGGTTCATCTCTGTGGCCCATATCAGTCACATGCGATGAGGGATCCAGAAACAGCTTTGGGACCATGGGATGATTTTCATAAAATCTGTTTGGAAAAATAGTAACTATAACCTGCCATGTCATAAAATGTAATAGATGCTCTCTAAGGGGTTGGTTGATAGAAATATCCAGATGTGCCCCACTAGTAGCCAGTTATTTTAATTTGCTTAATGGAAATCAAGTGAAATAAAGGTAACACAATTAAAAACTTTATCCTAATATCTAAATAAGAACAATTTATTTGAGTGGTTGAAGACATTTGCATGAAATTGCACCTGTGCAGTACTTGATATTCATAACACTCCCCCAACTGTTGTATTGCAGTTTTCCGTTTTCTTGACACCCTCTTTGAAATGTCCTGAAGTCTCATTTTTCAACCATCTCAGCTGTGGGACTTTTTTCATAATATTAATGTAAAGATGTTTGTGTTACTGTTTATAAATCACACCTGTAAATAAACTGATACAGTTTGCTCAAAACTTCTGTTCTCATCTTGTATCTTATCTGCAGATTAAACATTTCTGCTATATTCCTATTTCCGTTCATGTCCCTTAGGTATTTTAAAACTAATAACATTATTTGGGTACTGGGGTTGAAAAAAAGAAGACAGAGGCAGGAGGATCCCTTGAGCTCAGGAAGTAATGGTCCTGCACCTTTTCCTCTTCTCTTTACTGGGACAGATCAGTAGATCTAAAGGGACTCTGGCCAGCTTGGGCTTGGGCTTGGTGGGTGTTGCTCTGGCAGACCTTGTCCTCCCCCATTCCTGCTTTGCTAAAAAAAAAAAAAAAAAAAAAAAAAAACAACAACAAAATGTTAGATTACATTCCTAAAGTGGCCACTTCCTCCTTCCAAGAGGCTAACTTGACTACCAAGGTTCAACTCTTAAAGTACTAAAGTACAATCAAAAGCCCCCTCTGGCTCACCTCATTAACATGCCCAATTAAAATGAAACATCTCACCCTAACACAGGCTTTCCCCTTGTACCTTTACAAACTGCCATTCATCTGGGCACCACATCTGTCTCCTCTACCCAGAGGCAGTCCTTTGTCCCTCTGGAACAAATACTCCTGCCCCCTTTCCCTTGTTCTCTTCCCCTTCTCCCTCATCCTCTGTCTCTGGTGTTTCACTCTTATTCCCTGCCCTCTGTCCCTCTGGGCCAAATAAATCTTGTGCCGAGAACTTGGCCTTGGGGTTCCTAAGCTGATACTTTCCCTTTAAAGATCCATCTCTGTAGACCTGGCTTTCTCTGGAATAGTTGTCATGGCTACCAGGTCAATGCATTTTCTAGTGCAAGATGGAGATGGGGTGAATGTTATATCTATCTGGATGAAATAAGACCATACTGCAACCCACTCACACACACCTTCTTCCAGCTCATACATTCTTTACCTGTCTTCCACAGTGTCTCCAGGTTCTTAACAGAGATGTAAAAGATGATTCTGTGAGCCCTTTGAGATATGATGTGGGTGCTGGGAACTAAACTGGAGCAGTAAGTGCTCTTAACCACTGAGCCATCTCTCCAACCCATGCACTGACCCTTTTAAACGGCTGTTTCTGGTTCGTTCTTTTCCCTCAGAGATACCACATCCCAAAGTTTGTAAAAGCTCAACCCCCACTGGATGCTCTTTGGCCAAGTTTTCTTTTGGGGGATTTGATCTCCAGGCTTTCTGTTGTTTCTGTCTTGTCACAGCTCCATAATCCCCTTGCTTCCACGCTCTGCAAATGTGACAAGGTACGCACTTTGACCCCGACCACTGGAAACATTAGAAAGTGGTGTAGCTGGGTGTGGTACTCTACTCAGTCCCTGCATTCAGGAGCTAGAGTATGAGGAGTAAGAGTCAAGGCGGCTCAAAGCTACATAGTAAATTAAAAGGCCTGGGTTACAGGAGACCCTGTCTGAAACGCAGAAGAGCCCCAAACAAATGAAAACAAACAGCAAGGGGGCTGGAGAGAAGGCTCAGCGGTTAAGAGCACTGGCTGTACTTCCAGAGGTCCTGAGTTCAATTTCCCAGCAACTACATGGTGGCTCACAACCTTCTATGATAAGATCTGGTGCCCTCTTCAGGCCTGCAGGCAGAACAACTGTATACAAAATAAATAATAAATCTTAAGAACCCCTGTGTGGTGATATTTAAAAACAAACACAGCGAATTAAATAATAAATACAAACGTCAAGTCTTAGAATACCGCCTAGCACCAACTCTCCATCTCTTCCGGCTCCTTGGAGCAAGCTTCTAAAGTCCAGTTAGCCTAAACCAACCAGGTGCACCTCCTTAAGCCTGACAGCAGGTAGCAGTCATTACCTCGGCCACTGCTGTGATCCAACCTGAAATTTCAGTTCTTTTTGCCACATAAAGAGTCTTTCTACCCAAAAGGGACCAGTCCTTAACCATTTATGGCACAGCACCATAATGTAGGCCCCTCCTCTTTGCCCTAGGTTCTGGAGGTCCTATTTAAAGAATTTCTAATTATCTCTTTCTTTTTGATGTATTCAAGCGCAACGAGTGAGCCATTTTTAGTGCAGAGCAGAGGCAAAGATGTAGTTCAGTGGTAGACAGGTGCTGAACATGTTCAAGCCCGATCCTTACCAGCATAACAACAGAGCCCCAAACAGCAGCAAACCCAAACACCTAGGGCCCCAAACTCAACGAGGCCCCGCCCCTCGGCCCAGCTCTTGGCCACGCCCCTTCTGCACACTGCTCAGCCCCGCCTCCCACGCTCGGCCAAGGGATTGACTCGTCGCCTCCCGTCGCTCCTGGTGCTCCGAGCTATGGCTAGTAAGTGGTTCGCGGCCTGGTCGTCGAGATCCCCGCGGGAGCGGAGGTTTCGGTGCGGCGGTGCAGAAGAGCCGGCTGGGCCCTTGTGTCCCCCGGCCCGCCTTGCCGGTGGCTCAGGTCGCGGGTGTCCGCGGCTCGGAGCCGGGGCTGATCGGGGAAGCCCGGGGTTGTGGGACCGCGAGCCGTGCAAGCACAGGCCTCTGGGCCAGGCGTCCTGCCCCGTGAGAGCCCAGAGCTGTGGGGTGGATGGTGCTTTCAGATTTAGTGGCCCTAACTCCTTCACCTAATAGAATGGCTAGTCGCATCTCAGTTCACAGTTCATATGTTAGCTTCATGTGCCACAGAGTCCAGTGACTTGGTGCGGACTTCCCACTGCTGTGTTTATTGGTGCCATGACCCGGCGTGCTCATTTAAATGTGGTTCCCACATTGGGCCCTTCACTCGCCGTGTTTTGCGTCCCTCCCCTTGCAAATTTACGAAGATTATTAGGGCAGAAGATTATTAGGGCAGCCAGGGATCTCCAAAGTCATTATTATCGTTTCTTGGGAAGGTAAAGCAACAAGTGGAGGACCCCAGTGGAGGGTTTTCCCTGCTCCAGCCTGCAGAGGTCGCTTTCCACCAGCCCCAAGCCTGGCTAGGGCCCTGGTCCCTAGAGTGACTTGTGGGAGAGTGGACCATAGAAGCAAAACTGTAGTGAGTGAGTTGTAGCCTCCCTTCAGAAGCATAGACAGCCAGCTTCCTAGGTTTAGGAAGACCTTAGTGACTTTGTGTGAACTGTGGTTGTCACAGCTCAAGGTGTGTTAACCTGAAAGTAATGGCGGGTTTTGGGTTCTTTTAATTTAGATCTGGCACTGTTCAGCAAGAGATATTCAGGGCTAAATGTAGCTTCTTATCATATATATTTAGGATAAATGAAAAAATGAGAGATCGTAGTTTTTATACTTTAAACGATCATTTTGGCCTTCATCAGAAGCCAGGTTTTGTCAGTGTGATCTGTCCTTTAGATTATCAGTAGTTGTGACGATCAGAACCATGTCCAAACATTGCCAGACGCCCTGTTTGAGAATCCTGGGTCTGGCTGAACGAAGTGGGCAGATCTGATGACCGTCTCCTTCTGTCTTTGTCCTCAGCTTTCCGATTGGCCCTCATCCAGCTTCATGTTTCTGCCATTAAATCAGATAACGTTTCCCGGGCTTGTAGCCTAGTACGGGAGGCAGCAAAACAAGGTGCCAAAGTAGTGTCCCTGCCGGTAAGTATGGGGACAGCCGGCCTTTTTTAGGAGCCGTGGACCTGCCTCAGTGGTGTTTGCCAGCGGTGGTGGTGGTCCTCGTGTGCCCCAGCTCCAACCATGTCTTGTCCCGTGTGTGTCTCCTCTGTCACAAAGACGAGCAGAGATCTTTATCCTAAGATGTCTAACATTGTTACAGTCCGAACAGGATCACCTACTATGTTCAGATGAGGAAAACAAGGTTTGAGGAAATTACCTAAAGATAACACTTTCAGGGCCTGTATGCCGACTTTGTTCCTTACATAGTTAAAGCTTTCTGTTGTCATGTTTAAGGTCAGACCATGTTGTTTTGGCATTGTTTTGAAAAACTGTTTTGGCTTTAGTTGAAGATTGTATCAAATTTGGTGGTCAGTACAGGGTCAGCTTTGGAGTTCCTGGATAAACAGTAATCTTTAACAAAAGGAATCTTGTTAATCGTGTGTGTGTGTGTGTGTGTGTGTGTGTGTGTGTGTGTGTGTGTATGTGTGTGAGTGTGTGAGAGACCAGAAGTCAGTCTTTGATGTCATTCTGTAGGACCAATTCAGTTTTTCCTCCCTCCCTTCCTCCCTCCCTCCTCCCTTCTTTCCTTTTTTTGAGACAAAGTTTCTTTGTGTAGCCATGGCTGTCCTGAACTCTCTCTGTAGATCACACTGGCCTTGAACTCAGAGATCCACCTGCCTCTGCCTCCTGAGTGCTGTGATTAAAGGTGTCAGAGAACTGTTGAAGGCAGACGTGTGTTATGTGTGTGTGTGTGTGTGTGTGTGTGTGTGTGTGGTTGTCTTTCTTGGTGTCTGTGACCCAGCCCTGTCTTTTCATCCTCATCCACTTTTCCCATCTGTAAGGGACACCAAGGATCAAAGGATAGCGCCAAAGCGGGATTAGGGACAGCTTGGTGCAGTTACTGAAGCTGCTGCACTTCTGTGGCTTTCCAAACTTTTTATGCATAAGTTTTGTTGCTTTATGTAATCAGTATAATTTTGAACTCCAGAGTTCATCTCAGTATTCAAAATCACTGAATAGACCTGATTTATAGTGTGCCTGGATGCGGCCAGGGTCACCAGAATGATTTGTTTCCTCTGCCCTTCCCGGGGGTAATTAATTGCTGGTCTGCCTTTGATTGCCCGTTGTGTAGCCCTAGGCCTTTTCCTGATTGTGTTTCAACGGCTCACACCGGACTAGAGTTGGAAGCCCCGCGTTTCCACTTTTCCACAGAATTTTAAACGCTTTGCCCCTTTTCTCCTCTAACAAAAACCCAGGAGTGCTTTAATTCTCCGTATGGAACAAACTACTTTCCTGAATACGCAGAGAAGATTCCTGGCGAGTCCACCCAGAAGCTTGCAGAAGCAGCAAAGGAGAATGGCATTTATCTCATCGGAGGTAACTTCTTCCATGTGGTGTAACATGTAAACAGTAAAAGCATTAGGATGATGTTTGTTACACCTAAACTAATACATTTCAGCCCTTGGAAAGCAGAGGCAGAAGGATGGTAAATTCAAGATCAACCAGGGGTACACTTCAGGATGCACTAAGTGTAAAAACTGCAAGTTCAGCGTGGTTATGAGCAGAATTTCCCCACTTAGATTAATCTCCTCGACAAGAGATGGCTGTACTTTAACGGGGAGTTAAGTTAGTTATGTATGCAAGAGGCCTAGTAGACAGCATAGGAAGAATCACACCGACCCGGTCCTGATGAGTTCCCCTGTAAACAGAATGCCTAGATACGGTGTGGCCAGAGAGACCTCACCTCTGTTCTGTGTGCTGATTCAGGGTAATTGAACAGGTGGTATCAGTGCACAGGTGTGTGTGGAATCAGTTCTGTGATGCAGAAAGGCTTGGGTCTTAACTTTATCCTGGGGCCTCAGGATTCAGTGCTGTTGAAAGATGATGAATCTGAGCAATGGGGCACTCCTGATTTTGCTCTGACGTTACATATTAACTGTTGCACAATGCCATGGTTGAATTTCAGGGGCAGTTTGGTGATTTTTTAAACCGTCTTCTGACATCTGGCCCAATTATAGTTTATCAATAATTTGGAGTTTAATCCCTGAAAGAATATCAAGGGGGAAAGAATGCTTAGTTACTGGACCCAAATGCCTGTTTCCTAGGTGTTTACTTAGTATCACAAAGCTATTGGCCTGTTCCTTTTTGTTACCGTTTGGCGTGACTATGTATTTCTCTCGAGGAAAGGCTCCATCCCTGAAGAGGATGCTGGGAAGCTGTATAACACCTGTGCTGTGTTTGGGCCTGATGGGAGTTTATTGGTAAAGCACAGGAAGGTCAGTAGAGGGTGCACAAATCTCATCACCTTTCATTTTCTGTTTCTTGCTAGGATGTGGAAATTATAATTCATCTTTAGACTACTGGTTTGTATGTAGCAACGTTGCTGAATTTCCTCATCAGTTCTCCTCATTTAATTTCGATTATATAATCTGAGAAAAACAGCTCCATCCTCTCTTTCCCCTACTTCCATATTTCGGTCCTTTTTCTTGTTGCTTCATGTGGGATCTCAGGAATACCATTAAATAATAGGTGTGCTTATCTTATTTCCCACCCCGGAGTGAACGCGTTCGCCATTGTGCCCCGAATATAATGGTTGTTTTAGGGTTGTTTAGTATGATATTACATGAGAAGAGTCCTGCTGTCTTGTTTTTTAAAGTCATGGTTGTTGGAGGCTGGAGGTCCCTCAGTGCTGGAGTGCTTTCGTAGCCTGGGTGAGGCCTGGCGACAGTTGAGGCACTGTCTGCCACCTCCTCTCAGCGTAAGTTTACTAACAACCCTCAGCAGACATCCTTGGGGTCCTGTGCCTGTTTCTTTTGCTAATGTAATGAATTACATCAGTTGATTTTCTGATATCAAGCCACATTTGCTTTCCTGGGGAAAAAGTTCATTTTAGCTAGGTGATGGTGGTGCACGCCTTTAATCCCAGATCTTGGGAGGCAGAGGCAGGCGGATCTCTGAGTTTGAGGCCAGCCTGGTCTATAGAACAAGTTCCAGGACAACCAGGACTACACAGAGAAACCTTGTCTTGGGGAGGACAAAAACAAAAAGACTTTATTTGGAGGAGATGCATTACTGACTTTGCTTTGTAAAATTGTACCTGGATCTTATTTTTGTTTTGAGACAAAATCTTTCTTTGTAATTAGGCTGGCTTTAAATGAAATTAAAGTGGTCCAGACTGGCCTCGGACTTGTGGCAATCCCCATGTCTGAGCATCCTTAGTTCTGGGATAAGTTCTTAGATATAGCATGTGCCACCATCCCACTTACCTGTTTTTAAATGCTGCTCATTCTCTTAGTTTTCTTTGTCGTTGGTGTTTCGTTTTTTTGTTTTTTGTTTTTGTTGTTGTTTTTTTTTTTTTTTTTTTTTTTTTTTTTTTTTTTTTGATACAGGGTCTCTACAGAGCCCTGGCTATTCTTGTAGACCAGGCTGGCCTCAAACTTACAGACATACAGCTGTCTCTGCCTCCCAAATGTCTTTTCCTCTTTTGCCAGTTTTGTCAGTTTAATTCTGATTCTGGGAAATCTTCCTTAGCCTTTAGAGTGAGTCAGAGCAACACATTACACCCCATGAGGAGCCTGAGGAGCCTGCACAGCTTCCACAGCTGCAGAAAGCAGGTTACAAACCAAACACCATTTCCCCATTTCCTGTAAATACAATAGTATAGAATAGTAAGATCGGAAACCTCTTCCTTCCGAGACTAGAAACAAGAGGATTTAATGCTATTATTTAACTACAAGATTACTTAAACTTACTATTTAATACCGTGCCTGAAATCTCACACAGCAATAAGATAGGGGCTTGGATGTGAGGCAGCTGGCAGGGGCAGTGTGGGCAGACTGGGGAGATGTTTGTATTGTCAATCTTGAGTATTTCCATATCTGAGCCGCTGCTGCAGGGAGGCCGGTGGGAAAGGGGTAATAACCAATCGATTATCTATGATGCAGATCCATCTGTTTGACATCGATGTTCCTGGGAAAATTACATTTCAAGAATCTAAAACATTGAGTCCTGGTGATAGTCTCTCCACATTTGATACTCGTACGTACCACATAAGTTTGCCTCTTATAGTAGTAATCCCAGAAAAGAGCAGGTACTTTTCCTTTTATGTCTGTCCCCAACTCTTTCATATTGCCTTACTAGTAGTTCAGAATGGAGGAAAGCAAACAGTCTAGAAAGTTTGAACAGAATGGAAACCCATTTTGGCATGATACTTCTCTTCCATTGGGTTACAGCCGCCTGACCATAGCATCCAGCGTGTTCCTGTTGGGCCACGATCGATGCACCCTACTTAGATAATGTAAATTACTCACAGGGAACTTCCCACAGCTGTCCTGAGATGATGTCCCAATAGGGTTGAACATACAAATGGTCTCTGTGTAGGAGTCCTGTGTTAATTCTTCCCTGTCAGTGTTCTGTGATCAGAGGTTTACCCTTCTGCCCCATGCTACAGGAGACTCACTTCTCATGTGTGCATCTTCTGTTTGGAAACAGCTTACTGCAGAGTGGGCCTGGGCATCTGCTACGATATGCGCTTTGCAGAGCTGGCACAGATCTACGCGCAGAGAGGTGAGACAATACTACACACTACACACGGGTTAGGAAGCTCCTGGGAGGTCTGATTCTGGGATGGTCTTGTGGCAAGAAGGGAGCCCTTAACAGAAAATTGCCCAAAAAAGAAAATCACAAAACATTTGCACAAATGCCCAAAATCTCAGATGTAGATGTATTCATGGTCAGCTCTTCACACCAGTTTGCTAAACAGACTTCCGCTGATGATATGGTTTGAGGGGGTGTGACCTCATACACTGTGTAGCTAAGGCAGAAGCTTGCTCCCAAATATCCTCTCTGCCCTGTGAATCCCTCCTATCACTGTGTTGTTATGTGGAGCCCACTGGAAGCGGAGCAGTGGTCTGTGCTCTCTCGGATTTCAGTGAATGAGCCAAGTCAGGAGACCCGAGTTCTGGTTCTCGCTTCTTGCCCTTAGTCGGCACAGCACTTTGATCAATCATTTTCCCCCTCTGAAGAGGTGTGGGTTCTGGTTCCCTCCGAACTGCTCCGAGGGAGGATTAAGGAGAAACTTACAAAGTACGTCTCATGGCGTTCAGCACATCCCAGTAGCCTGGGGGTTACTAGGCTGAAACCGTTGGCACCTAACTAAGTGCCTTGGTCCGGATGATCTGAGAGCTGCTTAGCAGATGAGGTGTGTGCATTCTGGGCTTCACAGCGTCTGGAGCTGTATTGTTCCAGTCAGTCGGAAGATCAGGAACATGTTGATTACAGCTCTACTTTTTAAAACGGAAGGCACAAGTTCATCATCTCTGTTTTCTCCCGGCTGTACTTTATAGGAATAGCTCTATACTTCAGAGCCGTATTTGGCTGTTTTACAGACTGACCTCTTTCTGTATATGGAAAAGTTTGTTTGGCTTTGTTGGATAAGGAATAAAGGGAGGGACCAGAGTCCTTGAGTGTTCACCATTGCTTTTTGTCTTTCACGCCTGGAGGCTGTCAGCTCTTGGTGTACCCTGGAGCATTCAATTTGACCACTGGACCAGCCCACTGGGAGTTGCTCCAGCGAGCCCGGTAAGAAAGGACCCAGGCATCTCACTGCTGATGGAAGTATCAGCCTTAAATGGAATTCTGCCCTTGACACAGCAAGCCCTCGCATCCAAATGCACTTAGAACAGGTGAATCTTCAGAGAGCTCTGCTGGGTACCAACTCCAATGCCATAGCCGTGCCCTCAAAAGATGTGAGGGTTAGAGGGCCATTGCCATTCCTGGCTTATAAGATCAGTTTTAGATTGTACATGTGCCTTTTTCTCTTTTCCTTTGTGTGTGTATGTGCGCGCGCACACGTGTGTTGCCTGGACTATTTCACCAGCCTTGTGACCTCCAGTTCCATGCATTTGCAATGGCTAATGCCATTCTGTTGTACATAGGTACAATCTCTACTCATCAGCTAAGACACAGGGTATTCCTATTTCTTGGCTGTGGTGAATAGCCCAGCATACTGGGGTTCAGATGGTTTCTTTTCATGTGCTGTTCTGTTTTGCTTGGATTTATAACTTTTAGTAGGTTTTCCAGACCACATGTTGTCTTTAACTTTGGGGGAAACTGTTGCTTTCCACAATGGCTGTACTAACCTACAGTCCCACCAGTGGCTTTCTTCCCCACACCCTCACCGGGATTTGTTACCCTTAGGCTCTTGATATGAGCCACTGGAACTAGAGTGAGGCGTGGTCACCATGGTTTCGAGTTGCATTTGCCTGATGGCTAGTGATAGTGAGCATTTAAAATATTTATGTTGGCCATTTGTGTTTGTCAGCTGTCTATCATGGTGACGTAGGATGGGAAGTTTATCTTCGTTCTACGCGCAGAGGTTTCATTTCACACTTGGCTAGAGTGTCCTGGAGGCCTTTTTTTCCCCAGGCAGAAAAAAAGAGGCGGGGCTGGAGTCCACGTGCTCTTAAGAGCCTCTCACTTCCTCTAAGTTACACACCTCCCTTCCCAGCTGTGGGCTGAGGTCAGATGCCCTGTGGTAGACATTCAGGCTCCGAATTTTTTTTTTTTTTTTTTGATTTTTCGAGGCAGGGTTTCTCCGTAACTTTTGGTTCCTGTCCTGGAACTAGCTCTTCTAGACCAGGCTGACCTCGAACTCACAGAGATCCGCCTGCCTCTGCCTCCCGAGTGCTGGGATTAAAGGCGTGCGCCACCACCGCCCGGCTCAGGCTCCGAATTTTAACACCATTTGTGGGCTTCTCTTTAATACCTAGTTAGCTCTGTTGCTCTCCCAGTAAGTAGCCCAGGCTGACTTGAACTTTGACTCCCTTAGCTTCAGCCTCCCGACTAGTGGCATTAGATATGCTTCACCATGCTTTGATTTTTTTTTTTTTTTGCCATTTTCAAACTGGGTTATCTTGTGATATTGTTAAGCGTTGTTATTATGTATTTGTATATATTTCTTCATTCTGGAGGTTTTCTTTCCATTCTTGGTACCTTCATTTGCTGTATAGAAGCATCTTCTTTTGATATAATCCCATACTGCCTAATTTCCGTGTGTTTTATTCCCCCAAATTGTTGCTCATTCTAAGGTCCAGAAGCCTTTCCCTGTGTTTTCTGCTAGTGTTTTTTGTTTGTCTTTTTTTTTTTTTAAAATAACCACATACACTTGGGTAGAAACATATTGCAAGTCTACAATGTGTAAGGTATTTGCTTTCTGTCTGCTGAATACAGGGCTGTTGATAATCAGGTGTACGTGGCTACAGCCTCTCCTGCCCGGGATGACAAAGCCTCGTATGTGGCCTGGGGACACAGCACTGTTGTGGATCCTTGGTGAGTGTGTTTTAGGCTGAGCTCAGCTGGAAGTTGAAAGATGACACAGGATCACTTCCCCTGCAACTGCTCCTTCCTTTTACGCACAAATTCCGCTGGGTATGAGGGAGGCTTTCACTTGCCCTCCACGTGAGAAAACCATCCTGCTTGCCAGATCGAGTCCTTGGCCTTTGTCCCCTTCTGCTTGTCTTGGCAGCAGCAGTGGGGTAGGCAGTTGGTTTAGTAAGAGATTTCAGAATTCTTAGTTAGCTTTTAGCTAAAATTTAGGCTGAATGACTGGTCCCAGGACAGGAATGAGAAACTAGGCAAAAACATCACTCCCCATGTAATGATTAGACAGGAATGAGGTAAAGCAATGATTCTCAATCTGTGGGTCTCGATCCTTTTACAGGGTCTCATATCAGATACCCTGTATGCCAGATATTTACATTATTAATGATTCCTAACAGGAGTAAAATTACAATTATGAAGTAGCAACAAAAAAGGTTTTATGGCTGGGGGTCACCGTAACATAAGGAACCATATTAAAGGGTTGCAGCGTTAGAAAGGTTGTTTAGACATAGGATTTCAGCTCACATGTGACCTTACTACAACTCTGGACGTCAAAAGCTGGCTTTAGTCTATGGTACTTCTGTGTATGTACTCACACACGAAAGCAGTTCTGCAGTTTCAGAACAGATGGACCAGTCAGCAAAGCAAGAGTTTGAAGTTTAAGTATCCCCAGGGGGTCCCAGAGGATTCCCCCAGTGTGCTGTCACTCACAAAATGTGACGGACGACTGATTCTCTGGGTTCCACACTCCAGGATTTTAGGGCATTGGAGAACTGGGTCAGCTTGGCTTCTGTCGTGTTCCTGTCCAGATGCTTCTACAGCTCTACAACCAGTTCTCCTGTGCTCTACCTTTAATTTCTTCTGAAGGGTTTTGGTGCCCCAGGACTATGCCAACAGTGAGGTGATAGATGCCAGGAGTTACATAGAGAAAGAACTTTGAATTTGGCAGGACAGGTAGGTAGGAGTTAGAACAAAGGACTTAACCAAATGACATTAATGTATTGGTAGTTCACCCTTTCCAGGAGTTTGTGGCTATCTGGTAAGTACAATCAGTGATCCCAGGTGGTTTGTTATGACATAATATTTTGCAAATAAATCGTTTCTCTAGATGTGTTTTTGAGCTCCTGAGCTGGGCCAAAAGGCTGGATACTGGGAATAGTTTTCAGGATTAGCCTCCCCCTGGTCTTTTGAAGGGCTGTTGTTTCTGCTAGCATATAGACCCTTTCAACTTTTTTTGGTGGAGGAAGGGGGTTTCAAGACAGGGTTTCTCAGAAGCTCTTGGAGCCTGTTCTGGAACTAGCTCTTGCAGGCTGCCCCAAACTCAGAGCTCTGCCTGCCTCTGCCTCCTGAGTGCTAGGATTAAAGGCATGTGCCACTATCTGGCCTACCCTTACCACTTTTATGGGCTAGTCTTTCCCTCCAATCTGAAACCGAAATTTATTAGTATAGGAAGTCAGGGATCTCAGCTACAGGGTAGAGGTGCTAGTACAGTGGTTCTCAATGTTCCTAATGCTGAGACTTAATTCCTCATGTTGTGGTGACCCAACCATAAAATCATTTTCATTACTACTTAATAACTAATTTTATCTGTCTTCCTATTGTCTTAGGTAACCCTTGGGAACAGGACATCAAATCCCAATGGGCTAACGACCTACCTATAGGTTGAGAACCCTAGTAGACCAGGCCCAGCCACACTACTGTCAGGTGTGGCAGCAGCTGGGAGGGCACAAGGAACTGATGGAGACCCTCCTTGGCAGTTCCTGTTGGTTACTGGTAGCTCTTCTCCCACTTATAATCATAGACTAGCTATTGTTTTCTAGCAGTGCAGTTTATTAAATACATTCCATACTTTCCTCACTAAGCCTCACAGGGCTCTTATTTCCACAGGATGTGCCTGCCACAAGTTCACAATATAACAGACCCTGAATTCATACTGTTTTCTTGTTTTAGATCTTAGAATCTCTTGTTAGACAGAGGAAAATATTAAGAACTTGATTATCACCTGGTGTCAGTGAATCTCAATCTATTCTCCATCTCCTCCAGGGGACAGGTCCTAACCAAAGCTGGCACTGAGGAAATGATCCTGTACTCAGACATAGGTAAGACCTGCACAGCTGTGGTCCAGGTTTCTGGTGTCTCCACAGCTGAGGCCACTCGCTACAGCTGGTTCTGAGGACGAGCTCTGGGGCTCTGTCTCCCTGGGCTTTCTTTGACTTGACTCCAAGACCAATGCCAGGTCAACAGCATCCAGACAAGGCCAATGTTGCTGATTCATTTTTTAGTTTGCCAAAGACATCTCATTGGTTAGTAACGAGTTCATCATGCATGTTCCTGTTTTTGCAGACCTGAAGAGGGTGGCTGAAGTTCGGCAGCAAATCCCCATTTCAAAACAGAAAAGAGCAGACCTTTATGCAGTGGAGGCAAAGAAGCCCTGAAGTTTGTGCCTAAAATGTCTCTATGCTCATATACGCTATACGACGATCAACTTTACTAAATCTTTTTTGGACAGTGCTGGGAATTGATCCCAGTCTTACACATGTTAATTCTTCCACTGATATGTATCAGAACCTCCTCATTGAATTAAAATTTTTCTTTATCTGCTTGGTAACAATATTCCAACTCCTCTGATAAAGAACTACTTAAGCTGGTGATTCTTGGGCATTTCAGTCTTAAGATCCTTTTGCACAATACAAACTGAAGATTAAGCATTTTTGTATGTATAGCTAGTGGTGAGCTGGTCATGGTATGATACTCAACTGTCTGAGAAAATGTACTTTTGTAGGAACACTGATTTTCATGGTGCTAATATCCCATTAACATGACATTTTCAAAATATTTTTATTAAAATTATTTTCATACAATATTTTGATATTTTCCCCTTCCCCACTCATCCAACTTTGTTCTCTTTTTTCAAAAACAAAAAATCTCTACAAAAATGAAAATCAAAATCAACAAGCAAAAGACCAATAAGACAAATAGAAAAAAAAAGTACACAGACACACAAACCAATGGAGTTTAACATGCCACTTCTAAACAGTAACAGATGTGCAGGTGGCTCTGTGACCTGTATGGACAACACTGCTCTAACACACGACTGATTCAATGCATAATGGTTATTTACCATACTGGTAAATCAAAACTTTTAATATCCATGTTATATACATATGTATGTATATAGTATACATGTATATAGTATGTATTGTGGTTACTCACAGAAGAGTAACATCAAGTGACTAAAAAAATGAAATATATGATTTGGTAAAATTTGGTACACAAATACAACTATAAAATATCAGTCAAGAAAACAAGTACTTGTACCGCCACCAGAAGTTTCCCTATAAGCTTTAAAAATATTTATTATTCATGTCTGTGTGTGCGTTATGTGCAGGTGCTCTCAGAAGCCTGGGGCTGGAGTTAGAGGTATTCATGAGCTATCCACTGTGGGTGACAGGAGCTGAATTCCGGTTCTCTCCCAGAGAACGGAGAGCAATAAGCACTCTTAACCATTGGGCCATGTCTTCAACCCCTCCCTATAATCTCGTAACCTCTCTAGCTATTGAATCATCGATAAGCTTTACCTCCATAGAGTGTTTTTGAATTTTCTAGAATTATGCAAGAAGTGAATTACAACTTGGTGCTTTCATTGGTAGTTTATCTTACCTATGCATCAGTGATCTAGTCCTTGTTGATGGACTTGTGTTCTTCCTGGCTTTCCAATCAAAGAGTTAGAAACAAGGTTTTTCGTGTCTAAAGGAGTGCAATGGTGGGCTCTGGTATCTGTCACTGTCTTCCAAAGTGGTCATACCATTTTACACAGCTCCCAACAACTGTATGAGTTCTAGCTGTCCCCTACTCCCTTTCCTCATCACTTAGTATGGTTATATTTTTATTATGCTTTCCCTTTTTGGAGGTGGTGTCTTATTATGTAGCCTCCACTGGCCCTGAACTTGGGATTCTTACATGAGCCTCCCCAGTGCTGGGATTATAGGCACAATGTCATGACTAGTTTCTTCACTGTAAATATTTATTTCTTGGGCTGGTGAGATGGCTCAGTGGGTAAAAGAACTCGCTTTGCAGGCCTGATAACTCGAGTTCAATCCTTAGAACTGATGTGGAAGGAGCCAATTTTGGAAAGTTGCTTTCCACATGTAGGCCTCATACAATGAGAAAAAGAAAGAAAATTGATTTAATGACTGATACTAACATCCTTTCACGTGTGTCTTTGGTGAACTACCAGTAGATACCTTTTGCCCATTATTTATGGCTTTACTTATCCAAGTGTTAAGTTGCTTATATATTTCGATATAAATTCTTTGCCAAGTATTGTTTGATAGTCTCCTATCCTGAGGGGGAGGGGAATGACACTTACCCCTTCCCACACTGGGGATTAAATACAGACCTCACATGCTAAATAAACATGCTCTTTCCCACACAGTTGCAATCTCACCCATTCTCATTTCATTATTTTGTATCTTGCTATGTGATTTTCCTGTAAATGCCTTCTGAATGCTGAGATTACAGGCTTCTGCCACCCTGCCAACTAATTTTCATTTTTAAAAGAAGTATTATTTGAAGAACAAACATTGTGCATATTCATGAAGGTTAAGGTTTTTTTTTTATTCCTTTAAAATGTATTTTTATGTATTTATTCTGCCTGCATGCATGTTTGTGCAGCACACCTGTGTGTCTGGTGCCTGAGGCCAGAAGCAAGTTATCTGGTCTCCTAGAATAGAATTACAGGCAGTTTGTGAGCCGCCACATGGGTGGGGTCCTTGAAATCAAACCTCTCCAGTTCTCCCTTGTTTCTTTTTGAAGTTTGTCCGTTTTCTGTTGTATATAAAAACTATCAAACCCAACGTCACCAAGACTTTATTTGGTGTCTTCTGACATTTATGGCTTTAGCTTCCATTCACAAGTTCTCCCTATGGTTGAGAACTATGATTACACTCTTGAAGAAACCTATGAAGTGAGCCCCATAGCATCATCTACCAGGCTGCTAAGCAAGTCTAACACAGAGATAAAGGACGAAGGGGGGTTCTTCAGTTACTGCTCTCCAGAGCTTTGCTGCACTGGATTTCCCAATCACACCAATAAAAACTTGTATATGCCTATCTCCAAAGTTAGTTTGACACAAGAGACTGACTGAAAGTTAATAAACGAGCAAACTACCTATCTCTCTACTACAAGAATAGATAGAAAAGCTTGAATGTAGTATTTATTTTGTGAATTTACATGTAAAGCCATTTACAAAAGAAAAGATACAGACAGATGCAGCTTTCAGTGCAGTTTCAAATGTTCACAACAGGCAAAAGTCTGTGAGTATTTGGAATGACAGTACTGAATGGCACATGCTTCGTGTTTCCTACCCAGCCCCAAGAAAGAAGGGAGTAGAGTAGAAAATGTCAGTATAACGTAAATACAGCCATGCAAATAAAAACTTTTTAAGCAAAGAGGTCACATTTGGAGATGTAGGACATTCTGTACTTACGGCTGTCACCAATGGATAATTATTTCAGAACAAAATGAAGAGTGCTCCAACTTTCCATTATCCCAGTCAGTCACCTTAAATCATACTAACTGCCCCCACTGAAATCAGCCACAGGCTTACCAATATTGTTCAAAGACTATGTAAGAGGAGTCAGTCATTTCTAATAGTTTCCAAAAAGACAGCAATTGTAGTGAAATCATATTTGGTTTCAGTGGGATAAAGCACCCTTTTAAATAAGAGTGTAAAACTGTAAAATGCTCCTTTACTCTCAACAATGTAAACTATAATTAGACTTCATGTCCATACACCTTAACAGACTTGCTTTTTTAAAAAATCTTTTCACGTAGATAAACCTCTACGTGGATCTTAGAAACAGACTCAGCAAGAACACGCTCCCTGCCACACACACACACAAACACCAGAAAATCCAGCATATAAATAAGCAAAAGAGTCTGTGAAAGTGATGGACACAACCGTAGCGTTTCCAAAGAGAGATGAGGTACAGATAAAAATGAACAACCAAAGTAAAGTCAGCTGTCATTGTCCCTGGAGATGTGGACATGGACCATCAGTCCTCAGAGGTCAAACCTGCCTCAATACAAAAAGTACTCTATATACTGAACCTCTGAAAATACTGGCTCAACATCCCTTAAGTTAATACAGCCACAGCCAAAGCACTGAAATTGTCATTCCAAGAGTGTGCTCTGGCTCCAGGACTGACATCCTTTTTGAACCTTACCATATTTCTATCACTAGAAAACTTAAACTAATTAAATATTCCTATATATCATAACATGAACTCCATCTGTATGTGGGTTGCTCACATCCACCCACTCTCCTTAAAAAGCATACTATTAAATAGTACTTACTATGGAATAGGCACAAGCAATTATATACACATCTCTTTCATCTTACCTTCCTTGTTCAGCCTCTCATTAATAGTCTTCTCGTACGAATATCAATCAGAATATTTTGCTTCTGCATAATTTCCTAAAGTACTACAGATTCAGAGGCACTGAGCATGCTGACAATAGCTTAGTCTTTCAATTTTACTGAAAACCATATTGAAGCTTTTCGTCCTTAAAAAAAATTAAAAAGAATTGAATATAAAAGAAGTCTATTTTACAGCACTTACCATGTTAAAGACCAACACACTATAAAACACTCATATATTATACAAACAGCTATAAAAAGAAAATCATTCAGAACATAATCCCCACCCCAATATAAAAAAAACCAAATCAACAAATCAAAGTTTTTATTTGCATGGCCAATTACTGTTTGTATTCTACAAGTTTGTTTTAATATCCCTTTAACATGTTCTAAGCTTTTGTAGCACAGGGAATAAAAGCTGCAAGACTGCAAACTTCCTTCAACAGCCACGCCCACAACACCTAAACATGAAACAGATGTAATGAATGACAACATCACAAAGGGAATACTAGGTTCCACCATTCAACACAGTGTCATGACAGTGTCTTCAGGGTTCAGTTGAAGAGGGGTAAACTTTTAAAAAGAGTCCGTCTGCTTTCCCCTTGGTTTTATAAGGTCGGCGGTTTTAATCCGTATTTCTTTGCTACTTCTGTCTGGGCATGGGCAGCATCACAAAGTGAATACAGATGAGCCATCTCCATTTCCGATTTGGCCAGGTTGATAGCTTTGTTGAACATGTCAATGGCTTTCTCCATGTTTCCTCTAAAAAAAAAAAAAGCAAAATGTCAAAGATTCCTTAACAAGCACTTTTCAACAAGCAATAAAGTCTGTGTTGCATGAAGCATTCAACTATTTACAAAAAATTCAAGAAATTGGTCACCAAAAGAACACATAATCCAATAAAAAACAAAAAAACAACGGAGTACAGCCCTAAACAGAGAACTCTCAACAGAGGAATTTAAAATAGCTGAAAGACACTTAAGGAAATGTTCAACATCCTTAGTCATCAGAGAAACGCAAATCAAAACAACTCTGAGATTCCACCTTACACCTGTAAGAATGGCCACAATCAAAAACACTGATGACAACTTATGCTGGAGAGGTTGTAGGGTAAAGGGAACATTTCTGCATTGCTGGTGGGAATGCAAGCTGGTACAGCCCCTTTGGATGTCAGTGTGGTGATTTCTCAGAA